CCAGTCCACTGCCTCCCGATGGGAGTACTCCCGCATCCGTATTCACCTTCAGTAATCCTTGCTGGGGTTTTTGCCATTTCTTGACCTTCCTCCCTGTCCTCTTCGCGGTTTTGGTGCTCCCTATAATTATCGATCCATAGTTTTGCACGGGGAACAATCTCATGCTCATTCAATCTGAAACCATTGAAGAGGTGGGCATTGCGTTCCTTCCATAGGAACCATAGAAGTACCTCCCAGTCTTCCAGTTCCCTCTCGGTCTTTGTTTCCATAACCGCCTTCAACCATTCATAGCAACTTTCAGAATTGCGACATAGAAAGCAATCCGCCAGCTCCGATTTGCGCCATAATCTTGATGACCATTCACACTCTCCGAACCTGTGTACTTGGGTCTCCCTTTCATTGCAAAAGGGGCACTCATCACTCCATCTTTTACTCTTCATGGATATATGGTTCCCAGTAGGCAATATATCTCGGGAAAATCGCCAAAGAAAGTGCTTAACTTTTGGCGGAATCTTCAGCGCCCAAATGCGCTTCCAGACTCGAGTTTCGCCGACCATGGTGATGTTCTCCGCGGCCTTAAACTCCTCCAGCCAAAGCCTGTAAGCTTCCTTTACTCTATATTCCCCCGACGAGCTCCCTTTCCATACCAGCATGTCTTGTTCCATCGGGTCTCGAAGTGGGATGGTGCGGATGACCTTTGCTGTTTCCGAGGAGAAGCAAGCTTCAAGGAGCGCGTCATCCCATTGTTCCGCGTCCGGGGAAATCAATTCCCTCACCACTGCGTCAACTGGGAGGCCTATCGGGGCTGTCTCCACATAAGCCGAGGTTGATTTCGGGAGCCATTGATCGCCCCAGATTCTAATCATAGCACCATTTCCCACTCGCCATCTTAATCCACTGTTCAAGAAATTCTGGGCACTCATGAGACTTCGCCAGATAAAACTTGGACGATACCCCAGTGATGCCTCCAACACCGAACTGTTCTTATGGTATTTTGCCTTCAGAATCCGCGCCGTTAGAGATTCCGGGCGCTGATGGATCCTCCAGAGCTGCTTTGCCAACATTGCCGTGTTGAAGCCATGCAGATCACGCAAGCCAAGTCCACCCTCCTCTTTCGCACACACCATTTCCTCTTGTCGGATCCAATGCGCTCTTCGCTCCGTTCCTTTTTGGCCCCAGTAGAAATTTGTAATGAGGCTTTGCACTTCATTAAGGACAGCCGTAGGCACACGAAACACTGACATAGCGTATGTAAATTGGGCTTGCGCAACAGACTTGATAAGAACCTCGCGTCCTGCAACTGACAGGACCCTCTCCTTCCACGATTTCAGCTTCTTCCTAACCCTTTCAGTAATGCCCTGGAAGATCTCCTTCTTCGAATGGCCAACCACCGTAGGGAGACCCAAATATTTCTCATGTTTATCAACAGTTATCATCCCCAACACTCCACTGACCATAAAACGTGATGTGGTTTTACGTTGCCACTGAAAGAGACTGCTGATTTCTGGAAATTAACCTGCTGCCCCGATTCTCTTTCATAGGCGAGTAGAATTTCCTTTAAGTTACAAGCTCACCCTCCGTGGCTCTGCCAAAAAATATGCTATCATCGGCGAAGAAGAGATGTGATACACAAGGCTAGGGGTGGAAAACGGGAAACAGGTATTTGGGAACACCCAAACCCGTCCCGTATTTCGAGGGTTATGGGTACCCGTAATACCCGTATTATTTACTACGGGATGGGACTTGGGATGAACAATTTCTAGATCGGGTACCCATAATACCCATTAAATCTGTCATTTGTTTGAATTGGATTACCTCCGTTTGCAGCTAGTGGAGGTGGATCTTCCACAAGTTAGTACTACAAGGTAGTGAAGTAGCTAGCAGAGAAGGCACGACCTTCCCAAGGTAAATTTTGTCCCTCCCATTAGACATTCATGTGTAGGTTGTTGGGCACTAATGTAAATGTAGTGAATTTAGGATCAATATTACAGAGGATTTGTACTTTTATTTCACTCACTCTCTAACACACTCACACGGCAATTAATATTGCCTTTTCTCTCTTACAGTAGACAACAAAAATGGTTGTCTTTTTCTATTGCTAGCTCTCTGCCTATCTATTTTACACAAGCCATACACAAGCTCTGTTACATATCACAAACCATGCACAAGCCTTCTATTTTATAATGGCTACTAACCACCATTGTGCAGGGGGTTATTTATTTTATAAATTTATAGTGACAAGCTATGTTTCGACAATTTATGGGTAGATTGGGACATTCGGGTACCCGGTATCCGTCCCGTATGGGTAATGGGTACCCGTTAACCCATACGGGTTTGGGGTATGGGATGAATTATCTCCTTCAAATGGGAATGGGTACCCGTTTTAAATGGGATGGGTACCCGTTCCCGTCCCGTTTTCCACCCCTACACAAGGCGCACCCGCTGCAGCTTGAATACCTTGGATCTTCCCTGCATGTACAACTTTTTTTGTGAACGCCGACAATCCCTCTGCACATAGCAGAAAGAGATACGGAGAGATCGGATCGCCCTGTCTTAATCCTCTTTCCGGAGTAAATTTATGAGACTGATGGCCATTCACCAGCACAGAGTATGAAACTGTGCGGACACACATCATTATCCACTCAATCCATCTTCCTGCAAATCCCATTCTCTGCATAATCTTTTCCAGGAACCACCATTCCACCTGATCATAAGCCTTTGCCATATCAATCTTTGCCGCAAAAAAACCTGATCCCTTACTTTTGTTCTTCTTCTTCATTGTATGGAAACATTCAAACGCCGCCATTATGTTATTGGATATAAACCTGCCTGGGACAAAGGCACTATGTTCCTGAGATATGACACCATCCAGTAAACCCTTCAGTCGGTTTGCCAGCACTTTTGCGACCAGCTTATACAGGACATTGCACAGGCTTATCGGCTGAAATTCTTGCGGTGTTGTAGGCTTCTTCGTCTTTGGGATGAGGGCTATGAGAGTATGATTGAGATTCTCCGGCATAACTCCTGTATCCAGGATCAGGATCACTGTGTCCACTACATCATCGCCAATGACGCTCCAGTACCTGCGAAAAAACAAGACAGTCATTCTGTCAGCTCCTGGGGCCTTTCGTTTTCCCATCTGCTTCAGCGCCCTCACAACTTCATATCGCTCCCATGGTCGAGTTAGTATCATGTTTTGTTCGTCGGTAATGGTCCTTTCGATAGCATCCAGGACTGGGGTAGCGGCCGGGACGTCCCCTGCATGGAAAAGAGATGTGAAAAAAGACACCATGCACTGCAATGCTTGGTCAGTGCCGACGCACCAGCCTCACTATTATCCTTCAACTTTCGGATTGTGTTTCTCCTTCTTCGGGATGTTGCTTTCCTATGGAAGAAGTTGGTGTTCTTGTCTCCCGATCGTAACCAGTCCGCCTTTGATCGCTGTCGCCAATATAATTCTTCATTTCTTTCCAGCTCCAGCAATTCTGCTTCTAGTTGCTTGATTTGTGCAACCTCTCGCGGTCCTTTCCTCGCTCGATCAAGTGCACGCAAAGCCCTCCTTATGCGTTCCTTTTGTTTGCCAAACTGGGGAAAAGTAGCTCTGCTCCATTTGTCCAATTCATTCCTGCAAAACAGAAGCTTGGTTAGAGCATCACCTCGGCCTCCCTGCCTCCAGGCTTCCTCAATCACCGCTGGACATTCAGAGTGTTTTGTCCAATGGGCCTCGAATCGGAACATCCATCCCCATTTCGGATCAACATCTTCATCGCCATTCGTGTCACAAACAATTGGGCGATGATCCGACTTGAATTTGTCAAGATGTCGCACCACCACCTTGGGGTAAAGGTCACCCCACTCTAATGATGCCAGAAACCGGTCCAGTCGTTCCTTAATAAAGCCACCAGTCGTTCTATTATTGACCCAAGTGAACTTATGTCCTTGGAAACCCAGATCCTGGAGCCCTGTCATTAACAACGAGTCCTTGAAGGCTGCCATGGCCGCTATGTCTGTTGGACGACCTCCTTCCTTCTCATCGCTATCCAGAATCTCGTTAAAATCACCTCCGCAGAGCCAGGGCCCCTCCCAATGATGGGAAAGGCTTGCCATTAACTCCCACGTTTTATATTTCTCACCATCTTCTGGCCATCCGTAGATGCCCGTAAACCTCCAAACTTTGTTACTTTGATCAACCACTTTTGCATCAATATGGTGAAGAGACCGCGTCATTACCTCGATCTCGGTCTCCTCGCGCCACCATAGGCTCACTCCACCCGCTCTCCGGCCTCTAGACCTGTCAGTAGAATAGCTCTTGCCATACTTATAGTCCAATTCGAGGCGTGTAACTTCATTTTCCTCTTCGGTCTGCTTGGTTTCCATTAGGAAAACCACATCTGGGGAAATTAATCGCAAGAGCGATTTTAGTGACTTCACTGCTCGCCTACTCCCCAATCCGCGGCAGTTTTAGCTGAGAATCCTCATCTATGACCCAAAGGGGATGGGCTCCCCGCGCCATTTCGTTGTGGTATATTATTCCGCCCACCGTCACCTTCTCTAAACCTTTCACGGTTACTCTCCTTACCCAACTTTCCACCATGTTTTGGAGTGCCTTGTATTGGCGCTGGGTTTTTCTCATGGTTTTGCTGGGGTGCAACTTCATATCCTTTCCCAAGTGGCATATTGTTCTTTTTGGTGGTCAAACCACGGCTCTGACCCACTATATTTTGTTCTTCTCCTTTGGATGTATCCCCCTTCTGTGCTTCTTTATTATTATCTTGCTTTGCATGGCTCGCCGGCAAAGTTTCATCCTTATTTGTCCTTTGCATCACCTTATTTCGCGCTACCTCTTCGTGGCTTTTTCCGGTTGTCCTATCCAGGCTTTGTTCTACCTCCGCGGGCTTATCCGCTTGCTTCTCATCTCCCAAAACCTCAAAACGATTATGTTCTTCTCCCATATTACCCGTCCGTTTTTGGAAATCTCCCTTTGTACCAGGACCACTGCCTCATTTTTGCGTCCTCCTGTCCCTACGCTTCACCATCATCCAATCTCCATAGACAGGTCCCTTCTCTGGTTCAACAACTTGAGTTTCTGGTACCATCTCAACCGACTCCACTACTACCTCAATAGGATTCTTACATTGGCAATGATTAGTCGGCTTCCCGTAAGTCCCACAGTCCGTGCATATGTTCTCAAGTCCCTCATACTGGATTAGGTACTCGACGCCTTCAATTTTATATTTCGATAGCAACGGCCTCATGAGGTTCACCTCCACACATACTCGGGCAAAGTTGCCTCTTGCACCCTCCTCCGTAGCTCTGTCAACCCGTGTTGGATTTCCGATCAGCTTACCAATTTTCAAAGCTGCTTCCTTGTTAATGAACTCTATCCGTAGCTCCGGAAGCTGTACCCATACCAGTGTTGACTTCACTTCGGTTTTCCATGGGTTAAAACCCAAACCATCGCATCACCGTCAAGTAAGTCTCTCCCAGCATCCACGGCCCACCGGTTGTGGCTATCTCATAATCCTCCTTTCTCCTAAATCGAACAAGGTAGCAACCGTTCTTTATGTCCGAAATCTGGATATCACCATGCTTGGCCCACAGAAAGTTAAGGCGGCGGGATAGAGCCAGGTACGGAACCTTTCTTCCCAGGCCTTTCACCACCAACGCCGAACGCCATTCTCTTCTCCACCTTATCTTCTCCGCTGCCGTGAAAGGGACAGTTGGGCATAAGGGATCGTTTTCCATCTCATCAGCCATGTCATCCTCTTCCCTGTCCGCCTGAACGACATCTTCTGTGTCGGATTCAGCTACGTACCAGGTATCCTGTTGAACAACGTCACTGAAGCGCTTCCTTGTTCCCTCTTGCCACACAGGGATCCTCGTCTTTTGGTTACCTTTCGCCGCTATCGGTGGACTTGCTTCCTCTTCCATCTCTTCAGCTGTGATATCTTCGACCAAACCTTCCGGCTGGTCGAGGTTTAGGGCTCGGACCTTCTTTTTTGGCTGGACAGTCTCCTTTTCACTTTTCGTATTCGGGGAAGAGGAGACCTCCAGGTGACGCCGGACACCACTCGTTGTATCTGGTGGTTTTTCCGTCAGGTCCGGCGTCCCGGTCGGCGGTGCCGCCGCCATTGAGGTTACAAACCCTAGCTCAGTACGTAGGTCGCTTTTTCTCTCTAAGGTGATAGCTATCTTTCCGAATACTCACTACATACGTAGTAAGTAGTCAATTAATTGTTTACTCTTGTACAACCAACTACTTAACTACCTAATCTGAAATCCGATAACTCCTATATTTATATATTTTAATACTATTATCACAACAATTTTTTGTAATATAATAAGGTTAAGGTGTGTCGATTATAATTATTGGAGGTGTGTCGGAGGTCCCATGTACGAATTTTTTACACCGAAAAAATGCAGGTTCCGCACAAAAATTTCGGAGCAAGGTGTGTCGGGGTGACACACCTTGCTACAAGGTGGGTCCGCCCCTGGGGTAATTACCTTGATTATTCAGCCAAGTAAACTTCTCTCCATTCATCTGATGCTCCACTAATTGCATATCATCAACCCATTTTTGAAAATCTTTCCATTTTCCCCAAGACTTGTTCCATTAGAAGCATCAATTGCATTGCATTAAAGTCCCCAATCACCATCCATGGAATTCTTGAGACCTTCAGAGATCGCATTTGGTCATATGTAAATCTCCTAACTACCTCATCATTATATCCATATACCACTGTAAGCAAACAACACTCTCTCCATACACTTCTACATGAATAAAATTATCTTTAGTTGCTAAAGCAATAACAGTTAGCTCAAACTTATGGAAAATCCATATCCTCCCTCCAGTGGACTTCTGATAATTTTGTATAAGCTTCCAATTAGGGAAGTATTCTTTACAGATACCACTACTTTACTTTTCTTGTACTGAGGTTTCTAATACTTCCATTATAGCTATGTTATGTTGCTTAAGTACCTTACTCACACACTTTTGTTTAGAGGATTGGTTAAATCACGTAATGTTCCATAATATTATTATCATCGACGTTTAGAAATAGGTCTTCCACCACCTCTAGTCTTCTTACCCCATCCTCCTTTTGCCAAAATTTAAATAACTTCCTGTAGAAGAGGCCGAGGTATCCAACACTGCACTGCACTATCATTGATGAACAAATATATGATCTCCTTCCTCCAGGTGGGACACCGCTGTATTCTTTTCTTTGGCCAATCTAGTTGCAGCAGTATGACTCAAGCTTTCCTTCCATGAACCACTTAATGGAATTCTTCTTCATATGGAAACCTATCGAAACCTATCCACCATAGAGTCTAATGGTTCAACTACTGGACTAAATTCACTTACACTTACTTCTTGGATCTCAACCTCAACTTGTATCACCTCATTCACTAAGGCAGTTACCATTAGATCACCCTCAATAATTCCCTCATTTATCAGGCTTTCTTGTTGTTCTTTCACTTCTACTCCACCTGCTACTGACACTGGTTTGCTTTTGACTTTTGGATCCCAAACTTTTTCCCATCTACGATCCTCCTTACTATAGTCATGACCAAGATTGTTACATTGCTTTCATATGAGAGGTAAGTTGTATTACTCAACCGATGTAAAGAAGCTTTCCCTTCATTTGGCGCAAACCACAACGTTTTAGGACAACTTAAACCCACATTAATCTCTACACAACATTTTGCATACTCTAGTTGATCAACAACCTTTTTCAATTAATCTATACAAAAGGGCCTTCCTATCATACTCATTACTTTACTCAGGCACTCAGGCAACTAACACTCCACAATAGACCAGAATGAATATATAAATATTTCATGTGTATATGATAGGCCAACCTGCATCAAGAAATATATTTCTTGGATCATAACGAATAAGAATGATAATGTTATCCCTGATCTTGGATTTGGGCCTGGAACGGGGTTACTTAGGCTTGCATCAGTCTATCCCCATTGGAGAATTTTTTCCCTCAAAGTTTGTGTTTTCCTGCAAGAGACAACATCAACAGAATTTCCAAATGGGCTTATCCTCCAGGCAGTCAACATGTTCCTTCGAGCCATCAAATGTGTTCCAGTTCCGTCCTCCAACTTCGAACCACTTGTCCTCCTCTTCTCCTTGGCCCAGTTCATTGCCAGCTATTGTTGATCCTCTTAGACTTCAGTAGGTAACAATGGATTCAACATAAACTTCCAAGCTCCTTTCTTGAACAGGTAGCTATTGTGTCTTACATCATGAATAACTCCACTTTCATATTGCCACAGACAACCCAATAGGAGATGAGCAACCTGCATTGGAGCAACATCACACCAAATTTCATCTGCATAATCACACCGATCTGAAAACAAACCTTGGTCTTCTTGTTGACTCTGATATTCTCATAGTAGTTAAACCAATGCAGGGTGTATGGTTGAGGATGTTTGATGGTACTCAATCAAAACTTATTGACTGAATCCAAACTAACCATTTTGGTGCAGCTACCTACCACCATCAATGACCACGGATAACACTTTCCCGTCGACCAAGCAACAATATTGGAAAGATTATCCATATGCTTTGTCTCTATATAAGCTTCAATAGATAAAGCCCAGTGGTTCACTCCAAGAAGTTTACCGGTTGGAGGTTTTTCAATCTTCATATGCTCATCCACAACATCATCTTCAGAATCAGAAACCGAATCCATTGCCCATGGGCTTCTCTTCGTACTCCTCCTCAGAAAAGTATTCTCCATTTTGCAAGACTAGAGCCTTCTTGTTGGGGCATTGGTTTCCTTGTGACCTCGTCCCAAGCACTTGAAGCATTGGATGCTTCTAGCTGAGCCTTCGATTCCTGGCTCGGATGACTAGGGTCGTGTTCCTAGAAGCTTGCTTGTCACCTACTTGCTTAGGTAATTCATATTAGTCTCAGGAATGTTCTCTGCAAAAGGTTTGGGCGAAGGTGGGTACCTTCTTCCCGAGCTCACCGTCAGTTGTCTTTCCACCTTCATGGACAAATGCACCACTTCCTCCAAGTCCAAAAATTGACGAAGCTCAACTTTGTCCTTGATTTCTCTGTTGAGCCCATGTAGAAAGCGAGAAATCGGTGCTTCCTTGTCCTCACTCACATCTGCTCTCATCAAAAGCAGTTCAAGCTCCTTGAAATATTCATCAAATGATCGTTCTCCTTGTCAAATTCCCTATAAGGCATCATGAAGATCTCTCTGATAAAATGGAGGATCACACATCAACCCTCTGAGGTCTTCCCAAGTCGAGACAACTGGCAGCAAATTCCTTCTTCGCCGAAGTTGAACCTGTTCCCACCAAGCTGCTGCATAATCTAGAAACTCATAGGTGGCTACAAGAACATGATGCTCTAGGTAAGGATTGCACTGGAAAAACAAGATCATTTTCCTCTCCCAGTCGAGGTAAGCTGAAGCACTATTAGCTCCTTGAAACGACGGGATTGAGAGTTTAATCCCTCATATCTTATCACCACCATAACCTCATGTTTCTGGTGGCCTTCCTTCATACTCACGATAATCATTATCATAGTCATTAAATGGAGGTCTGCACTACAGGATTACCTGCTGACGTTGTTCCGTGTGTAAGCGCCTCTGCACCTGCCAATCTGGAGTCTCAGGAAAAGGTTGGTAAACTCGATCTGCTCTTAGACTCTTGGTTCTCAACTCAATTATGAGCCGCTACTGCCGCTGGATTCTCTGGTGAATTACCCATTAGATGCTACCCAACCGGGTGATTAGGGTGTCTAAGCGCTTATTCGTCTCAACCAGCTGACCTTTGGTAGCGTCTTGTTGGGCATGAAGTAAGGCTCCCATCTGCGTCATCTGCATGCAAGCAGTTTCATAGCTTTTGGAAGACTTCACTCTCCCATGGTTTGTTCTTCGATTAGGGCTTCTTCTTTAGAGATCGATTCTTCCTCTTCTCTGCGTTCTGCAATTGATCTTTGGACCTCGTTTGAGAAGCAACAGGTCCTCTCGCCTTCGATCTCACTACCGTGTTGAACTAGGCTTTGATACCACATGATACGAGCACGGATCCGGTATCCGTAGTTATCAAAGTCAAGTAGTTTCAAGAACGAACAAGAAAAGATATTTTTAGGATTTTTTTTTTAGAATATGATGGAATTGAAAGTGTAATATCAACGCGAAATCGAGAGAAGGCTCTAGTAATATAAAAGATAGAATCTCGACCACAATTAAGGAGAAAACTTGATTGATATAGAGAAAAGTCTCAAGCCTAAAACTCAAAATACCAAGAAAATTCAATATTCTGCAAAAACTAGTCTAAAACCCGAGTTTGAGCCGTTATATAAGTATGGACAATTAAAAATAAAATAATAACCCCAAAACACAAATTTCAATCACCC